TTTCCTCCTTTACAGCAAAGTTAGGATTATTTTTTTAAGGGGGAATTCATGTTTTGGGGCATTTAAATTAAATAGAAAATATACCGTTGGGTTTAAGCAGATAATTAAAGAGGACATCACCTTCTTTAAGGCATTTACTCCACACTCTAAGAAGTCATTTGGTTGAAAATCCTTTAGAAAAATCCCTTTTAAATATTAGGTACCAAATTAACCAGATTATTACGAGTAAATCCTATATTTTTGTTAATAGCAGCAAATGCAACAAAAAATAAATAAAAAAAATGTATCCAAAGGAAGAGGTTTCAAAAGTATAAATATTTATTACTCCAGTAGAAATATAAATCTTATTGTTTAAAAACTGTTTAGTAGACATTAGAGGATCAACTTAAGCTTTTTACTCCAGTAAAACTGTAAAAGTAACATTTTTAAAGCTTAAAGTGTAGAAATAAAAGTTATACAGGAAAAAAAAATGCTAAGAACAAAAGCTTTACTGCTCTACCCCATTAAAGGAACATTTTTCTACAATTCTGGATAATAACTTCCTTTGATTTCATTTTCTATATTCCTCTAGGCGGAAATGCAGCTGAAATGTTCAATTTAAAGATCTAAATATGACTGTAGAACGACATCTGCTATCTATTGTCGAGGGGAAATTTAAGTCATTAAATTTAAGACTGTGATCTCTGATCTATATAGAGCAGATCTACAGAATTAAACTTTGGACAAACGGCCCCAGGAAGCACTGACTGTTTACTTCTACCTACATGTTGTATCTCAGGTTCTTCTCTGGAAAGCTGAACAGATGCATCTAATTATGACGAGAAGATGACGAGCTTTACTGCAGGTTAGCTGCAGTAAGCCTCCCTCCCTCACAGTCTCAGCTCCTGTTATGCAACTTTCTCCATGAGTCCATGTTGTGCTGCGGGTCACTGAGACGCCTGGCCGTCCACGATAAGAGGATCAAACACGTCGTTTGGAAAAGTCACCGATCAGTTTCTGCTCAGACAGCTGTGGGTCGGTTCACTGTGCTGCCTCTTTCCTGTTT